GGAGAGGGATTAGAAATACAACAGTCCTATTTAGGTTTGGTGTGAATTTTCCTATTTTCCCTCTCCCATTTCATAGGAACTTTGTGGCATTTAAAAAAAACTTTCATGAAAGGCTTATAAAAAGCAGTTTTTTCACTGAGATGTGTTGTCACTAAGTGGCCAAATGTACATTTTATACTGTATGTTAGTATGATGTATGGAGGTATAATTAGCAGCTTCATACTTTAAAAACTGGAGTGTCACATTCCCATGAAAATGACAGTAAGTGATCATATATCATTGTTTTTGGGACATCTCATGTTCTAATTTTAAAGCATGCTGTAGTAAAGTTGCACTGTACTTTATAATAAGCAAAAAGGGAGAAAATATAAAAAGGAACAGTGTTTGGCTACCCTCATCTGACAATATACTTGATTGCTGGAAGAACTTCTGTCCTTTTCCCTCACAGAAATTTCCAATATTTGGCTGAATCAACAGTTCATGACGAACTCAAATCTCTGCCAGTGAAACGGTTGCAAATTTTCCCAGAGCCTGACTTTTTCAGACTGTATAGAATTGGTAGTCCATTGCCTGCTGATGTATCCATCAACTGCAACTTTACCTTGGTTTTTCAGAAGCTCTTGATTACCTAGATGCATTAGCACAATAACCAAAATGCTTTGGATAGCTCATTGTCAAGAAAAGCAATGTTCTTTTTTTGTTTTTAGTGTACTGTGTCATTATCCTATTCATCCCCCAGAGCTCCTTCTGGTAGATGGGCAGCTATATAGGTTTATTAAATAAATATTTAAGTTACATAAGTAAACAGCTTCGATATGCCATGTTTCATTTTTATCATGGCTCACACAAATACTGCATGGAAATGTACAATGTATAATCACTGGCATCTCTAGATATACTTAAGAAAGCTCTACTGTATGCAGCTCCAGAAGCTGCTGTTAGCCAATGCAAGCAGCAATGAGTTTGATGGACCTGTAGTCCGACAATAAAAGGCAGCTTCTTCCTATGAAGAACCAATTACAATCTTGACATTTCAGATATCCTTTTAAAGTGGATATCTGAAATGTGCCGAGCCATAGAACTAGGCACAGCAGGGGCATGCAACTTCCATTACGCTAAAAGCCACTCCAAAAGTGGGTAAATTGTATCCCAAGTGTGGACAGATCTAGGCCCCAAAGGTAGACATGGCCGCAAGCAACTTCTTAAAAAAATATCAAACTGGAAAATATAAACATTTAAATCACTCTTTATAAACTCCTTGCAATAAGATTAATAAATGAATAGGATTAGCTATGTAACTCCTTGTATAAAACTGATTTTTAAAATATAATTTCCATCCCCCCTCTCAGAGAGTACACCTCCTCTTTAAAAGAAGATATCCGACTGCTACCTGTCATTCCCTCCCTCTCCCTTTTACACAAACTCCTCCTTCCAGATGCAGAACATACATTCTCATTCTCTCTCACACATGGATGCTATTTATACCTCACCTTCTCAAAAATGGGAAGTGAAAGGGGGTACTGAAATCAGAAGAGGGAACAAATCCCAAGATTTTACATACGGAATAAAAATACAGGAGATTCCTGATTTACTTCCTGGTTATGTTTTTAAAGGTTTATTTTACTTCCATGAAATAGAAAAGAATAAGGAGAGAGGGCATTCCTTTGACTACCCATTTTCATCCCACTCTATTCTTATTCCCTCAGAGTGGGATGAAAAATATGTAGTCAAAGAAATTTGTTTTTATTCATTTTATTTATCAAATTTATACACCACCTATCTCACTGTATAAATGCCTTCTCTCCTTCCTCCCACCTTCAATAAAAAAAATCCCTTATTTTCCCTATACCTAGCACACTTGGAAAAGAAATGCTTATTCTTTTCTATTTTATGGAGGTAGAATAAAAAGCTTTAAAAACATAACCAGGAAGTAAATCAGAAATATTCATTCATTCATTCATTCATTCATTCATTCATTCATTCATTCATTCATTCATTCATTCCCTCTTCTGGTTGATCAGGCAAGTAAGAAACCCATAGCAGCACACCAAATTTACAATCTACACTCCTTGTTATCTCGCTCTCTCTCTCTCAGAAGAAAAACTCCAAACAATGAAATGTGAAAGAAAACAACAACAAACACCTCATGAGGTGCTGTGGAAATCAGTTGTGTGGGAAGGCAGATGCTTTCTACTCGCTGCTCCACTTTGACGGTGGCCAAAGTGTGTCTGGAGATTTTGTGGGGATAAAAAAACCAGGACAGGATTGATGAAGAGAGGTAGAAAAAGCAAAAAAAATGGATGGTCTGCATGGGGAGACATGTTGGAAGGATGTTGGATTATTGGATGAGGAAATCAGAGAGAGAAAGAAAGGGCGCTGAGGGAGAGACAAATAGACAGGAGACATAGAAAAATGAAGCGGAAAGTATACCACAGACCCAGAAAGAGGAAGACAAGACTATTAGCTGAAAAGTCTAGAGAAAGGTGCTGAGGGATAGTAGCAGTGGCAAGAAATGTAGTGGAGAATGGATGTGAAATGTAGTTTCCAGAAACTTGTTATCCACACCTTAATTGGTTGGCTATTATCAGATTTAGAAGCTCCCTGATTCCAGAATAACTCTAGCAGGATTACATTTAAAATAGAAAACCAATAAAAAAGAATGTAAGCATCCAGACAAATCCTACAACCCAGGGCTCCACAAATAGGCCTCCCCAAAGGCCTAAGAAATTAAAGATTTCTGGAATATGGTCAGAGTAGGAGCTACATGGGTCTTGGGGATGCCTTTCTAGAGTGCAGGTGATACAATAGAGAAAGCATTGATTAGCCAAGGGGACCCGAAGGTTACATCTCATCTTGGCTGCAATGTATTCTGCGTGAGGCTACCTTTGAAAAGTATTCAGATTTTGCTAACACTTTAAAATGCTGCAGTTGGGCTACTGATAAGGCAGCAAGGTACAGGGATCTGAACAGAAACCTCTGCAATTGCTACTGACTACTTTCTAGGTAAACTTTTGGGTGCTGGTATTGACCTTTAAAGCCCTAAATGGCTTTGGACATGACTATTTGAAGAACCTGACCAGCTGTTAGGGCCTACAAGAGAGCTCTTTTGGAAGACTTCCATGCTGTTCGAGATTCTGCTACCTGGCATCCAGGAAGTCTTTTTCTACTTGCACTGCTTTACTTACAAGTTACACTTGGCTCTCACTATCTGTAAAGATTTATCTCCTTCATCAGGCTTCTAACTGTTAATTGTTTTTAAGATTTTTTTTGTTCTGTTTTTTGTCTTTTGCTTTTTTTAGCTTTCTTGAGTGAGTGTTAGTAAGGTTTGGTATAAGTATACAGTGACCATATTTTCCTGGAAAAAATAAAGGGCAAACCTGAAAAGTGGGCAAATCTGAAAGAAGTTCATAAGGATGAAAAATTTTAATTGTTTATGTTTATCATTTTGCTTTACAAATGAAAATACAAGAGCAAAATCAAGAAAATAAATGTTAAATAAGCCTAAAGGACAGCTTTCTGAAATAAAGGACTGTCCTTTATAAGGACATATGGTCCCTGTAGGTATAAGACAAAATAATAGGAATAAATAGTACTTTTTTAAAGGAAATTCAGTGGATTTAATCTGACAACCTGCAATCCATTCTCTATTCATTCTTCGTTTCCTATTCTCCCCTTTACTGTTCTTTTATCATCCTCAATTTTAATTGGCTTAGTCTCCTTTCTCTTCATTTGCCCCTTATAATCTAGTAACACTAATATAATGGCAACTTTCTTTACCATTGTTTTTCCTACCAACTCTGAAGTGATTTATAAAAACATGGATATTGTTTTGTCGGGTTCATCCTCAGTGATGATTGTTGTTTTTATGTTTTTTTGTTAATAATAGTTTTTATTGTTTTAATATGTTGGTGACATAAATCAATTAAATACATACGTACATGCATACATACATACATACATAAAATTATATGCCCTTTTTCAGCACTGGTGATGCTGGAGTCCCTCCTTCACTTGAGCAATCTTTAAAACTCCTTATTCCCCAGAAATATTTAATTACTTTTTATAACTGGGAATTAAGAAATTGCTGTGGACAGTTTGGACCATTTTTATGATTTTTTTTCTTTGTATACTGAATGAATGGCATAACTTTGGAAGTCCATTTTGGGGTAAAGTGCGAGTTTGCAAAATGAGTCTGCACAAGAGAGATTTAAGCCTCAGTGTATATGGAAATTCTGTACATGGAGCCCCTTGGTCCACAGTTTATATTTAATGATATTTTTCACCCCTATACTGATCACCTCTTATCTACGCAATCACATTCCCCTTAATTAGTCTTTCCTTTGGCATATCTTCATCTTTCCTTCTTATACAGGCTGTATCATATTTCAGAAACACTTCACATTTCTAGCTTTTATTTTTAAAGTTTCCATCCTAAATTGTACTCCCCACCCTTCTCTTCATTTATTTGCTTTTTCCCTTTTGGCATTCATCAGAGTAACCTTTGTCAATCTCAGTTCCAACATTGTGCCCTCAAATATTATTTCTGCCTCCAATAGTCTTTGCTTTCATAGTCAGAAAGCCAGACCTATACACAATTTAACTTTCTTTATAGCCCCTTCTTTTCACAAAACCCTTTTTTGAACTATCCTAGTTTACCAGCATTTTGACTGATACCTGACATTCTCCTGACTCTTCCACCAAATCATTAATTCTATAATTGTTCACTTAGGGAAGCTCTTATGCTTTCTAGATGCAAAGATGTCACAGGCTCAGTATACATGTTACTACTGTCAATTAAAATTACTGTAAAATAAATGATAGTAATAAAAAAGAGCAAAAGTAAGGTTTGCTTTTTTATGAAGTCTATAGAATTTTGGGGTAGATTCCTCCTGTAGGTAATTTGGCAACATGAACATATTAACATAACAATCCAAACCTAGGTGACACTAAACAGAATAACTTTTGATATTGTGAAGCCTAAGAAAAGTGAAATGACTATTTTAGATCTTTATCCAATAATCCATAATTATGACAATCCACAAAGGATCCACATTTTCAGTTATACAAATATCTGAAACAAAAAGATTAAGTAGAATGAAGTCAAACAACTTAAAAGAGAATGCAAATCCTATTCTATTAAAAGAAATATTAAAATGGTGGTAATGTTTAAAAAATGAGATGAAATCATTACTTCACTGGGTCACATTGGATAAGTCAGTTGCTGTTTGCAACTTCATAGCTGTTTCTTCGAATCAAGGCCATATAGTTTTGGTTTTGTGGGGTACAAATTCACCACCTAGCCTACACAATATAATGCTCACAGTATCTAGCAAAGGTATACTTTTCCATCATATATCCATAACTTTACTACCTGTCTGCTTGCCTGGATAATATAGTTTCATTCAACTCTAGAATTTCACAAAGAGCCAAGCTTCAGATCACACTTCCACCTTTTCACATATTTATTCATATATGATATTCAACCTATCACATCACTGAGGTTTGTACAAATGAGAGAATAATAAGGAATGGTAGGCACAAAATCTCTACATTCTAAAATATGATTTGTTAGCATTTGCATGTACTTTTAACCATCTTACAAGAAAATATAGTAACAGAAGCAAGCAAGCAAACAAATAAATTTACCTGTAATTTTATCTCTTACAAGCTTGCAGGATTCTATTTCACCAATGCTCCCAAAAAGGCTCCTGAACTCTTCTTGGGTCATGTTCTGGGGTAAGTAGTTGACTATGAGGTTGGTTTTGCTGTCATCTGTAGCTGCCCCTGTCTGCATAGGGGAAGGGCAATTTCGGCTGTTGCTGGCAGGACCATTGGTTGTATTGGATGTAGGGCCATTTGACACCTGAGGCTCCATGGTGCTAATTATCTATGGAGAAAGAAAAGGTGGAAAATATCCCTTCAATCCTCAGAGATACAGGTGCTATTTTAAAAACATACTTACAAATGAACAAGTAGGCAGCATTCATGGCCAATTTGAGAGAGTTAACCAAAAAAAAAAAAAAATCAGCTTGGTTCTTCTGCTGTTGTTATAAAGTAGGTCATGCAGAGAGCACATACTAAGATGCAGAGACAAATACAACCTCTCCTCTTTTTTCCCCATTATTTTTGTTAATGCAAAGCTAATTTCTCTTTTCATGATGCATTTGTAATGTACAAATTTAATTATGATCTAAGGTATAATAACTGTGATTAAAATTACAGTTCTATTTAAGTGGAAGAGTCCCATAAAGAGATAAAAACCGAAAAAGTAAAAAAAAATTAGCTGTTGAATTACTGTGACACCTAGTACTGTGACAGGTTTATTTGGGCCATTCAAGCTAAGAAAGCTATTATTGTGATACTGTGAGCTTGAAGCAACAGCCTTTTAGTTCAAGCACACTTACTTGCATCAACACCTGTATTCTTCAGCTACTTTGGCCACCAAGGATTTCTTTCGATTCTTTATTAAATAAAACTGAAATTGCAAATCATAGAATCAAAGTATTAGAGTTGGAAGGCAACATTTGGCCCATCAAGTCCAACCCCCATTTGGTGCAGAAAACCAAATCAAAGCATCCCCAATAGTTAGCTGTTTTGGCTCTGCTTTAATCTCACTAGTGAGGGATATCTTAACATCTCTTTGGGTAATTGATCCCACTTTTGAATTGCTGTTACTGTTAGGAGCATCCCCCCCCCCAACATTCAATGGTAATCTGTCTTCCTGTAACTTAGATCTATTACACTGTGTTCTGCACTCTGAAATGATACTTTCTATATGACAGCTTTTCAGGTAGTTGAAGAGTGCTGTTATCTCTCCATTCAATCTTATCAAGACTAAAAGTTCTCATGTCCTTCAATCTCTCTTCATAGAACTTTGTTTCTAGTTCCCTGATCATCCCTGTTCATTTCTGAACCTATCAAATTTTATTTCTGTCTTCTAGAGTATTAGTTATCCAACCCAATTTGTTTCATCTACAAATATGATAACCATTCCTTCCATGTCTTATCTAAGTCATTTATAACAATGTTGAAGACTATGGGATCCAAGACTAAACCTTGGGACAACCTACTAAATATCTTCCTCCAGTCTGATGAGGAAACTGTTGATGATCACTGTTTGAATAAGATTTTCAGTTCAACTATATATCCATTTAATTGTCAATGCCATGACAATTAAAATAATTGGCAAACTTAACTAATTTGGTAATCAAAAAGTCATGGGGTACAATATTTTGTTGAAGTCAAGACACAGTACCTCTAGAGTATTCCCACAATTTATCAGAGTAATTATCAGTTAAAAAAAAAGTCATAAAATTGGTCCAGCATTTATATATGAGCCAATATTGCACAATCAAACTTCATCTCTATTGAATAAAAAAAGAATGTAATTTTTTACAAGATTCAGAAACAATAAGTAACAAGACTTAATAAACAAACTCTTGGTTTTTAAAGAATATGTATGTTTTAAAACCATACAGTATTCTTTATACAACTCAAAAGGGTAAAGTTTTTAAACAGTGTAATTTGTATCTATGACATGCAACACAGCATGTAAAGTTAAAGATTGCTCAGGACTATTGTTATAGATTTCTACAGCTGCCTTTATTCAAATACAACCCACACTTTCATCGCATAACTTCTCCTTTCTCCTTCACCTGCTGTGCAAAAAGCTAAAATCCTTGTAAGATGGGGGGGGGGCATACCCTATTCAAGGCCAGCTGCACAATTACCAGTAGTGGTTTTGCCCTGTGCCTAAGTTGAAACCCAGATTGGAAGGGATTCAGAATGGCAAAGCAATAGCCAGAACAGTTGACATATATCTGTCAGAAGCTTGTCATGCATTTAGAATTTAAAAATTACATCAGACACACATATACACAACTCTAAAATCATTTCTATGATTTGAACATTAATTCTTTGAAGAACCTCACACTCTTCAAAAGACTAACACAATTACTTCTCTGAAAACTGGATTATATGAATCTGAACTGTTGAATTACCATAATGATTGGAAAAGCATAGCAACAAATATGCTATGGAGGATATCTAGACCATATTTGGGGATGGGGGGGCAGGGAAAAAAAACAGAGAATGCATATGGAAAGAGAAAAATAACTCCACTTTTGGTGCTGTATGTAGCAAATATTGTGCATTTCATGATACATAAAATATACTACAATATATTCATCGTATTTTGCTATGAAACAAAACTTTGCTATCCAATTCCTCTCATTAACACTTTTACATCAGAGGAAAAATAACCTGTAAATATGCTTCTGAGTTTAACTTAATAAACCAAGGAACCTATTTCATCATCACCATTCTGATCACACAATTATCAAAAATCTGGAGCTAGCAACCTTGAAAAAGTACAGGGTATGCATTTTAGGAGAGCCAGTTTGATGCAGTGGTTAAAGCACCAGGCTAGAAAATGGGAGACTCTGAGACCTTGGGCCAGTCATTCTCTCTCAGGCCTAGGAAGAAGGCAATGGCAAACCATTTCCAAAATCTTGCCAAGAAAACTGCAAAGAGTCAACATTGAATCAAAGGAACATGCGTACACACATACACAAAGCATTTTAGAAAAAAGAAAAATATGCATAATAGAAATTAGTTAATGTTTAATACAATGTGCTGTGCAAATATCACATTCATATCAGGGAAATTCTACTTCCTCTGATGAAATGAATGACCTAATGAAATATTGTTTAATCTGTTGGCACAGATGCACAAAATGGCCATGAACTCATCATGATGCCTTATTTACTCTACAAATGGAGAATCATGGCTGAGGTAGTTTCTGCCCTTTGGCCATTCTTCACAACAAATCTCTTAAGTGCCCTTCATTTGAGGTTGCCTTGAAGCTTTTCTAAGATAAGTCTTTGGGTGAACTCCAGAAGCAGGGCTCTGAGGGCAGGAGAGCTTTGGCAGCCCAACTTCATACTGGAGTACTCAACATCGGGTGAGCGAGGATCACAATGGAAGAGACTCCTATAGCTCACATGGCTTTTTCAGTTCCTGAGCAACAACTACTGAGTGAGGCTCACACTGCAGGAGACTCCAGGTAGGTTTGCTTAGACTTTGCACCATTGGGTTGTAGTGGAATTCATCCAACATCTTCCCATGTTCCCCACTCTCTCTCAGCTCCACTGCTATGGCCACGTACTCTGATACACAGGTTCTAAGGCCATATGCAATCATACATGCAGCATGGAGATTATGCTTTGGCCAGCAGATCACATGGCCTAGACAGAAAAAGGAGGATTATTTTTACCAACTCGTCATGCCAGTGTCTCACTGCCCAGAAAATATACTGCTGCTGTTTTTTGTAAAGGTTCTTGTGAGGAAGCTGGACTCTTTGGAAACTGTAGCTTTCAAAAGAAAAGCAGGTGGAATGTTTTGCATTTAAAAATGCAAAAGAAAGACTCTGTGCTGCTTGATCTGCTAATCTTAGGTGTGTGTGTGTTCATTCTTTACTGCGCTGTTAATGCATCAGTCCATGGTGCTTTTTCATGCAAAGGCATGTTTGAACTTTTGGTCTGACCTATTTGTCGCAATTTTTTTTTAGCGTCTCAAGTGGAAAAGGGATTGTTTTGCTGAGCAAGATATGTGCTTGACTCAAGATTATTCTTTTGTTATCTATGCTACTGAGCACTGACAATGTAAACAAATTGCTCCTGAGTGACAGAAAATCTTGTTTGTTTTTGGCAGCCAGTGAATTAAAAAAGGGTTAAACCAAGGAACCTATTTCATCATCAACCTATTTCATCATGCAGGTGAACTTTCAAAATATTAAGGTGAATGGAGACAAGGTTAGGGTTAGGCATAGCCATCAGATTTGGAACAGGCTTATTTTAAAACATTTTGAAAGTAATCCCTTGCTAGTCTGATTGGAATTAATTAAATATGAACAATTTCAGCCAGCAGGTCCTCCTGCCTTGGAGGAGGTAACAAACCAAAACGTTTTGTGTGAGAGATAAAATACAGAGTTAGTCTATCTCTTTTCACATTCCCTTTAAACAGAATACTTATACCACCACTCCTCCAAGAACATGATCATTTTAAGTTTAAGGAGGTCTAAGGTTACCCAATACCCATCTAGATCTTTGCAGCAAAAGTTTGTTCTGAATCCCACTGTTTTCCTTTGCCTGAATAACTGACACTGTTTTGGGTTTTGTTTCAGCCACACCCAGACCAAGCAAAGCATTCCAGATTTTGTTTTGTCTAACCCATAGCCAACCAGAGCCAAGTGAACAAAACTTCTGGAATACAATGTTTTGTTTGGAGCTCAAAACACATTGTTTACTGACCTTCAATTATTATACTAGCTCTCATATAAGATATATACCATATGTCTAAACTGAATATCCAATTTATAGACTGACTACATATTAGAATATACCGTATTTTTCCGACTATAAGACAATATTTTTTTCTAAAATCCTTACTCTACAAACTGAAGGGCATCTTATTCAAGGAAGTCAGCCGAGAATTGCGCGGTTCCAAACTGCCCATACTTTGTTCCTGCAGAGAGGCTCCCCCTATTGCTAGCCTCCAATCACGAGTGAA